GGCGCTGCGTCCGGGGCCAGGAGCGAGCGGCGCGCGCGGCACCGCGGCGGCCCCAGGGCCGGGCCCAGGGAGCCGGAGAGCGGCGAGGAGCCGGCGCGGCGGCACCGCGCGCGGCACAAGGCGCTGCCCGCGCACGAGGCCGCGGAGAAGGAGGCCGCGGAGAAGGAGGCCGAGGTCGCCGAAGCGGACAAGGAGAAGGAGCTCCGGAACCACCAGCCCAAGTGAGTGAGCGGTCAGAGGAGAGCCTGGTGACTGTGGGGACCTCGGGGTCCGGCCTCACCTGCGAGTCCGGGGACGGGGCGTGGGCCTGGGGTGGTGCTGAGCCCCAGTGCCCCGGCTGGCGGGAGAGGGTCCGCAGGGCCGGGGTGCAGGCTGGCCGGGGTGGTGACAGTCGTGCCTGGCAGGGCTGACCTGTGACATGCTGGAAGCTGCTTGGCAGGGAGTGGGGCTCAGCGTCAGCCTTGATTTGATGGCGCCCGCGCCCAGGAGCAGGGAGGGCTGGGGGAATCGTTGAGCCTGGTTTGGGACACCCTGACTTCAGAACGAAGTGGCCCAGCAAGAAGAGAAAATCGGGGAATGCTGTGGAAGGAGGGCCTGAGGGAGTCCGGGAGGGGTAGACCCGGAGGGCCCGGCTGTGTGGCCAGCACAGACCCTCCCCCTCCAGCTGGCCAGCTGCTCCTGGCAGGGCCTGACTCCGATTGTGGACCTGGGGTAAGAGCAGCGGGTGGAGGCTGGGATGGGAGTCTCCAGCTTGCGACTGGCCACAAACTAACCGGACCTCTTGAAGCCAGAGTCTCCAGCTCAGGGTCGGCCCACCTGCCCCGCTGTTTTTATTTGCAGAGCTCTGTGCCCAGCCTTTGGCCTGGAGGGGCACTGGGTGGGGCCACTTAGGGAAACATCTTGCTCCAGGTTTCTTCACTCTGCAAACAATTCTGTTCCACATATATATTGTGATGCCAGCTGTGCCTGGCTTTGTGCCGGGGGCAGACACATGTCAGCTCCATCCCTACCTTTCAGACTTAAAGACACAGGTGTACAGAAGGTGATAAAAACTGTACAAAACGGCAGAGTAGCAGAGGAGGGTAGTCAGAAATGTGCTCGGTCTGGGTAGAGGTCTGAGGAGCTGGGTTTTGCAGACTGAATAGGAGTTTGGGGCTGTGCCAGACTCTGATGTGCATTCTTGGATGCAGGGAGCTGCACTGTGACCTGGAGGCCAGTGGGATGATGGGTGTGGGCCCTGTGCACACACTGCCCAGCACCTGTCTCCAGAAGGTGGAGGAACAACCAGAGGACGCGGACAATCAGCGGAACGTCACTCGGATGGGCAGCCAAGCCTCAGACCCGAGCACCGCTGTGCACATCCCGGTGACGCTCACAGGCCCCCCTGGGGAGACCACGGTGGCGCCCAGTGAGTATCTCCCTGTACCACCCTGTGCAGGTCCAGCTACCCCCTTCCCTCCTGCTCCATGGCAGACACTTGGGGACCCAGAGTGCCTCTGTGAATTGTCCCCCAGCTGAAGCAATAGTCCTTCACTGTCAGCGTTTGTCCCTCAGTTTCCCTTTGATTTCTTGTGCAGACCTGGCCCGGGGTGGTGACAGTCCTGCCTTGCAGGGCTGACCCTGCAGCATGCTTGAAGCTGCAACTGAGTCACTGAGGTGAAGCTCCACTCTCCTCCCCTCCAAAAATATTTGCAAGTTGCCAGCTAAGTGCCAGACACTGTTTTAGAGTGCTGGTAACATGGCGGGGGGGGCAGTCTTGTCACGAAGATAGACCACAAAATGGTAACAATTCTTTACAGTTGCACAAAAGCTGCGCCTTGACTGGGGTGAGGAGGAGGAGGTTCTCAGGAACGGTCTTCACGTGCGTTCACGTGCCAACACGGCCCCTGCTCTGAAGTCTCTCCCGGGCCTCTGCCTGAGCCGCCTTCTTTGTCCCCTTGCTCCCTCGCACGTTCGTTAGATCCCGGGCAAGCAGCTGCTCCGTGCCTGGCTGCCTGCAGGCACAGAGGGCATGGGTGAACAAGACGTCCCTTCTGTCTTCAAGCCAGTCTAGTAGGGAGAGACCTGCAGATGACGAATACAGCCCTTCACACAGTGGGGACAGTGCACGGGCATTTCATGAGCGCCCAAGGGGACCTGTCCCCTCTGAGTACAGAGAAAACATTCCAAGGGGGAGGAGAGGGGCCATAGAAACAGGGCTCACATGGCATCCCAGGGGGAGGACTTAGGTCTCAAGCGGACCAGGTAAACTCGGTCGGGTACCACCGCGTGCATGCACGTGTTTGCAGATGCATCCACACAGAGACCGTGCGTGTGCCTGTTGTCTCTCGCCCGGGGCTTGTGGACCAGCACATGCTTCCAGGCACAGCTGTGGAAGGCGGCAGGCTGTAGCTGCTCCGCCTCCCCTTTCTCTTTGCTTCCTTGGAAGACAGCTGTTCCTGGTCCATTCTCTTGTCTACTTCCTGTGGGCACAAGGGAGTCTCTGCCTTCCCTGCCACCTCCTCTGATTGTGTCTGGATTAGCTCGAGCACCAGCCTAGGGCCCCCACCTGGCTTTTATCCGTAGGAATCTAGATGTGGCCCCTCCCCACTCTCCGTCCTCCACCACTGCGGGCAACCCCTGATCTTGCACTGTCGCCATAGTTGTGCCTTTTCCAGAATGTCACAGGGTTGGAATCAGATAGTGGGCAGCCTCTTCTGATGGGCTCCTTTTGCTTACAACCTGCATTTCAGTTTCCTCCGTGTCTTTCTGTGGCTTGATAGCTCCTCCTCCTCTGGCACCGAGTGGATATTCCATCGTCTGGATGTGCCACAGTTTGTTCACCATTCACCTATGGAAGGACATCTTGGTTGCTTCCAATTTCCAGCAATCATGAATAAAGCTGCCATAAACATTCATGTTCAGGTTTATGTGTGGACATAAATTTTCAACTCATTTGGGTAAATGCCTGAGAGCACTGTTTTGGATTGTATGGTAAGACCATATTTATCTTTATAAGAAGCCACCACACTGACTTCTGAAGGGGCTGTACCGTTTTGCATTCCCGCCAGCAAGGAATAAGAGTCCTGTTGCTCCAATCCTCGCCAGCATTGGGTGTCAGTGTTTGGATTTTAGCCATTCTAATTAAGCTTGCAGGGGTATCTTGTTTAATTTGAAATTACCTGATGACATGTGTACATCTTTTGATATGCTCACCACCTGTGTGATCTTCTTCCGTGAGGTTCCTGTTCCGATCCTGTGCCCAGTTTTTATTTGGGTTGTTTATTTTCTAATTGTTGAGTTTTAAGAGTTATTTGTATATTGTGGATACGTGTCTTTTATCGGACGTGTGTTTTGCAAGATTTTTTTCCCAGTTTGTGGCTTGGTTTTTCATTCTCTTAATGTCTGGTGTTTCTGATTATCACTGTTGTGTGTGGTGTTAATCTGGTCTCTGTTATTACTTCTGCTAGAAGCAGAAATCTAGGTATTGATTTTTATACGATGATGATGTATCCTGCTAATTTTCTGAAGCTTCCCATTGTTTGTTACTTTTAGTGTTGATTCTCTTGTATTCTGCAAGTTTTTATCAAAAATTCTGCAAATACAGTTCTAACTCTTCCTTTCTGAGTCTTAGGCCTCATCATCTTTTTCTTGGTCTGACTTCACGGGCCATGCACTGTCCGTAACCATGGAGCTAGTGGGCACGCTCACACTGTTTCTGCCTACACCAGTAAGAGTCTGGCTTTGGGCCTGCGGGGTGTGTATATGTGTGTAAAATTGTGTTATTACATTCATTAATTCCTGTTTCAGTCAGTGTTTTTATCCAGACTAGATGTTGAGTTTTGTTGAAGGCCTTTTTAGCATCCATAGAGATCATATATTTTTTCTCCTAAAATGTGGAGGTTTATAGTAATGAATTTCCTGATATGAAGTTATCTTTGCAATCTTAGAATAAACCCAATCGGTGATCATATTTATTTTTTAATGTGCTGTTGGATTCTGTTTAATATTTTACTTAGGATTTTGGGGTTGATGTTTTTAAGTGTGATGTGTTCTGTAACTTTCTTATATTACGTTCGAGCATTATAAGGTTTAGAAATCAATGCCATACAGTTACCTCTTGCTTAATTTCACTGCTCCATTCCTGAAAATCAAATGTTCTGAATAGAAGTCCTATCTCCCATTATTCTCAATGATAAAAAATTATAATGTATCACATGTCAACTAAACATCCCCAACCTAAAATACAATCACAGACTGTTAAACAGCAAAAAGTAACAAACTATCGTCTTAGGACATAAAATGTTTAGCATATTTTTCCTAATCCCTAGTTAAAACAGCTGCTAATAAGCGGTTGCTTGGGCACCTCCTTTATTGAAACTTGTGCTTTTCAGAAACACCCACACGTGATCCGATAACCGGCCAACTGAATTTGGAATCTTGCCTCAGAGTTTCCATGCAAATTATTTTGTTAAAAACGTTATATTGAGTTTTGAGGATGTATATGTTTTTCCTACATAAACATTAGCCAAAAAATCCAGCATTGTAATGAGATTTATATATGTAATGAGAGACACATATGTTTTCCTGAAGTGCGGGCATCATAAAACCTGGAGGCCCTCCCTCTGCTGGGAAGTTTTGCCTGAGTAGACGTCTGTGGGTTGTGCGTGTTATTATTGGCTCATAAGAAGAGTTAGAATGTTCTCTTCCTGCCCCGCAGTAGTTCCAGTAGCACTGGAACTATCTGGTCTTTAGATGTTTGGTAGAATTCCCTCGTGAAATCACTGATGTTTGTCTTCTTTTGTAGGGTAGTTCTTTGATAATTTCTTTATTTCTGTATGGATCTTGTTCTGTTTAAACATTATTGTCTCCTGAGATGAGTTTGGTAAATTAAATTTTCTTAGAAATTATGGATTTGATCTAGGTTTTCCAATGTATTGACATAGAAGCATGAATGGCT